GCACCGCACCAGCTGGAGGGGATGCTCAGGAGGTGTTTGCTTCCCTTACATCCCTTCCTTACAGCTTGCAGTCCTGACTGCTCTAATACCATTGCAGTCTTAATGTCCTGGACACCTAAGCACCCTTTTTAGGATTAACATAGACCTGTGTGTCAGGAGGAGGTTAAAAACCGAGGGAAACCACTAACTTTCTGGCTGTAAGTGACATCTAGTGGAAATGGCAGGAAAAATGGGTTCTACGGGTGAAATACTGATCCTGTTGGATTCAGCAGTGAAAGTTTGATTCCTGTGAACCAGAACATCAGCCCGGCAACCTCTTTTCAGGACTTGTAAAAAGAATAGAATAGCTCTGTCTGGGTATGACTTGCGGAGAGCTTGGCATGCTTGGTTTGTCTCCCATCACCAAGCAACGTGGAAAGCGAGATGGTTGTGACATGACAGCGGTCACCTGGCTTTATGGCTGCTGGTCCCAAGCCAGAAACACCGCAGACCATGCACTTACTGTGCTAAACTTCAGATTAAAACAACTTTGCGCTGCTAAACTTCATGCCAGTCCACATCTTGCCTGTCGTCTGACAGCCAGCCACTTCTCCGGTGGTTGATATGGTTGTAGCTCATCCTGACGGGTCCTCTGGCTGGGCATCAAGCTGGGACAAGGGATGGTGCCCCACAGCCCGACAGCCTCTTCTGGCTGGCAGCACCCAAAGACAGGCAAAGCTTCCTTGGAGGTGGCTGCCTGCAGCAACCCCTGCCCCATCAGGAAGGGTCCAGCCAACAAGATGTGGCCTGAGGCTATTCTCGTGCAGAGCAAAGCCAAAGCTTGCAGGAAACCTGAAACCCAGAGAGACTTGGATTAGCAACCCGAAACTCAGGCCAGGGTACAAGGCTTTTGGAAGAGGTTGGCGGAGTTTCAGGCAGAGTGTGGGCTGAGTTTCAAGTCAGCTAAGGCTGACCTTTGAGTGAGCCCGCTGCTGGCTGCTCGGGAAGCATGGACCTGAATTTTAAGAGAGCCTGGGGAGTGAGTTTCGGGAAAAAAAAACCATCCCAGACTTAACCAAAACAGTTAAAGGATTTAGGCAAAAAGAACACAGACCTCTTATGGTTTGAGGGTGATAATTCCTAGCCACTCACCTGTCCCCAAACCAGCAAAACCAGACTGGTGGTTACAGCTTCGTTGCACCCTGAGTTTCAATGCAGAATTAACCCCTTCCTCAGCACGGAGTACCCGTTCCTTCCAGGCTTTCTCTGGGGTAGATCTAAATTCCCTGTTTGCTCTCTCCCTGTCACAAGGGAGGTCCTATGGCTGTTAGCGGTGCAAAGTCAAAGCTGTACCTGAGCAGCTCAGCATTCCCTGCTCCTGCACACGAAGGACTGAGCTATCTATATGGCCGCGTGTACCTCACTGGAATTAATGAAAGGGGAGAAATGAATCATATCCGAGGGGGAGATCACAAGATGGAAAGGCTGGTGCCGTGAGCGAAGATCAGAGTCCAGGGATGAGCCAGAGATGGGCAGACAAGGCCACTCTGTACCAGTGACTGAGGCTGAGGGATGATGATCAAGCCGAAGCGGAAGAAAGCATGAGAAAATGAGTACAAATAGGGGTGTCTGTCCCAGGCAGTGGGAAGCAGCAAGGGCCAACACAGTCTTTCTCTTGAAGCTGTGGACATATTTCTTTTTCCATTTGGGGTTTGGTGTTTTTTTTTTTTTTTCCATTGGTTTTCCTGCAAAATCATCACTCTTCCTTCCCTAACACACAGCATGTGATGAGTCTAGATCAGGGCAGGGAGGATATGTTTGTAATCAGACCCACATTTCTCTGTGTTGTCTGAGCAGCGAATTCAGCCAAAAACCCCATTCTCGTGATGTTTTAGTGCTGATTTTAAAAGCACAGTAAAGGTAGAATTTTCCATAATGGAGTTTCCTGGATAGGAAATTGCTTATCTTAGAGTATTATTCTATATAGCTCTGATAGCTCCTTTCCCCTTGCCAGTCTGTTGAAGTCCGTTTACACCGGGAGTAATGAATGTGGAGCCTGAAGCCGCAGAAGGGGTCCTTAATGCCAAAGGAAGTGCCCCTCCAAGGCACTCCCACCCTTCTGGCTAGCTCCCTTTTCCATGCCCTTGACTCCCGCTCTTTCTCCCACGCTGTGTCCTGTGTCATCAGGCAGACAGGGGCCTCATCTGCTGCTTTATTTCAGGCCCTTCTCTAATTACACGTTGACATTAGTTATTTATATAATGTCCTTAATGCCGACGTGTTGATACTGAGGTGCTGGGAAGCGGTGGGGAGGCCTGTGCCCGCCTTCCCGCAGCTTGGCAGGTGCCATCACTGGTTGTCTTGGTCCGGGGATGCTGGAGCAGCCCTGCAGCATCCGGCATCTGGCATTAGCTAGTCTGGAGACGGCTCCGGAGAGCTGGAGCCAGGTATCCCAGAGAAGCGCAGGGTCACGCACCGCACGCCAGAGAGTAATTGGAGACGCCGTGTCCGGGCTGGAACTGCTGGATGTCCTTCGTGGACAGCATAATGCCCCTTCCACAGCCTGTGTGGCTCAGGGAAGCATGCCTTGTCCTTGAAGACCACACTGGGCTTTTATGCCCCCCTCCCCCCATCCGAGGAAAGCAGGGAAGTGCTATCAGATGCGTAATTTCCCCAGGGACGGTGTGTGGGCTTTACCCTGGACAGCTAAATAAATACTTGGATGTCTCCTGCGCTGAGACTTGTTTGTGTCTCGGAGGCCAAGGTGGAACGTGGGGGGTGGGGGGTGCGTGTGCAGATCCTGTTGGGTTTGGTGTGTGGCTGCTCCAGCGCTGGTTTTTCAGCGTGACACCGATAACGCCGGCTGCCAGCCCGCTGCTGGCTTCCAGTTCCGTCTCGCTGCCTCTGTCTCTTTTATGTTCTCTGCTGCGGTTTGCAAGGCAGGGTTTAAAGGTTTCTCTGACTAACCCTGGCTGCCGGACTCAAAGGGAAGGAAGTCAACTGCAGCCAAGAAAAGGAAGCCGGTTGGTTTCCCTTAGGCGTCTGCGAGCGCGTGTGAAGGGGAGAGGGAGCAGGGTGTAGCCAGATCAGAAATGAGATAGGATGGGAAGACAGCAGACCTCTTTCCTTACATATTCTCGGCTCGACAAGCTCCCTGCGTGCGTCAGCCTGGAGCAGGGAGAAGGAAGTGTGTCCTGGTCAATATTCACTCGGCGGGGTGGGGCAGTGGGCTTCAGCTCCAGCTGCTGGTGGGCTGCGCGCTTCTAGCTCGCTCCCAGGCAGTGCAGTGCGGTGCGTGAAGGCACCCGTGGCAGGGAGCTTCCTCCCCGCAGGATGGGGGATGCTGGCAGGGCCGGACAAGGGGCCCAGCTGCCCTCCGGCCTGTGGGGCAGGAGCTGGGTGTCACCCCCCACACCCCAGGAGCATGGCCATCACCCCAGCCCCGCCGAGGACCCCTGAGGCAGTGGGTCCCTCTCAGCACCCACATCACCTACATGGCTGGCCATCCAGTTTGGGGACGACAGCAGCCTGGTGACCCCAGCACTGGTCCCCCCCAGGGCTGCAGGGGCTGGAGCTGGGCTCAGGCTCATGCTCATGGGCACTGTGCTGCCAGCAGCTACTTCAGGGCATCTATTCCTGGCCCCCGGGACAGGGGAGGGCATGCAGTGGGAGGCAGCCTCCGGGGCTCGCAGGACCTGAGGGCTATTTCTGGCTCTGGTTGCTGACCCACCAGGCCACCCTCGGCCAGTTGCTTCCCGTGTAACTCCCTCATGCCGGGCTCCCCCCGAGTCCCCAAGCCCAGGCTCCTTCTGTCACCTGCACCAGATGCTGCTGGGCGGTGTGGGACCATGTGAGGTTTGTCACAAGACCATTTTTGATGTAAATCTGCAATAGGCCAGCAATAAGCATCCTAGGAGTGCTACCAATGGACAACTGATGCCCCTGAGGTGTGTTTTTGTCACCCTAGAAATGGGTAACCTACAGACTGAGAGCAAGACGTGGGTATGTTGAAAAAAAACCAGTTGTTGCCATCCAGATGTCATGCTCCGGCACATGCTAAAGGCTGTGAGCTCTGTGGCCTGGGCCTGGACCCCTTCTCTGTTGGCTGTCCTCCCCAGAGCAACCCCAGGCAGAGGGCAGAAGCAAGCAGAGGGCATCAGGAGTGGGCTCAGAGACACCAGAGGCTCTGGGACAGAAATGCATTGACTGGCACCCTCACATCTTCCTCACCAGCTTCTATATATGGGCCTGCCCTCTCTGAACCCATCACACTCGGATCTCAAGTGACACACTGGGGGGGGAGGGGGGGGCTGTCTATTTTTAGCTGCTGAATGGGTCAGTGCTGGAGCCGAGCTCTCTGCCCCCATCAAGGGTACAGCATCATGTTGTGCTGGGAGGATTCTCCTGCGTGGCTCTTTGAATGGCTCCATCACCAGCTTAGGTTGTGGTACAGGTAGGATGCAGCTTTGTGATCTCTCTGCTTCTTTGCCACTGGTTTTGGGCTCTGTTGCATCTCCCTCCGTGAGCCATGGGTATGGAAGGGGCTGCCGTGCCTTGCTGCAACCTCCTTGTTTGGTCTGTGCTTCCTGCTGCCTTCATGCATGCTGCCGTGGCAGCAAAAAAAGCCCCTGCTTTTTTAAAGTGGGATGTAGGCAAAGGGAGTAGGAGAGGGGTATGTGAGGTGTGATGCTGCTGTGCTGCTATGGAGAGAATCCCAAACCCGCTGTGCTGGGGGAGCAGAGGCAGAAGGGACCTGAGGGGGGTAGTAGTGGTGTTTCTTGCTGCTGACAGGGCTGTGGTCCAGCACAGCCATACCGGTCCTGCTTAGTCTGCTGGGAGCTGCCCTGGCCTCCTGGATTCCAGCTGGAGTGAGGATGAGTGAATGCGGATGGCAGGGAAGCAGGGCAGGAAGCTGATGGGGAAAAGGGTTAGGGGCATACACCTCAACTATGCTGATACTGGTGCCCCCTCCTCATGCCCTCATCTCTCCAGCCCCTTCCCCTTGCTTTGCTGCTGCAGGCATGGATAACTTCGAGTACAGCATCCAGCTGAGTGACAGGGACTGGGCTGAGTTCTTCCTGGCGT